AGAACACTGCTTTGAAGTAGCATATCTTGTTGGTCATGAGCAAAGCACAAATGTGTCAACGAGTAGTCTTTCCATTGTCCTTATGTCACTTTAGTTTAGTTTAATGTAGTTGGTTACTAAATATTTACAGTTACATTGAATCAAACACGATCATAGAAAAATTGACACACTAGTCTCCGTTTAAACAATAAATACGATTTGGGATGACATCAAGCATGGTGACCCACGAGGACTCACAAGGAAGAAGCAAACAATTAAATGCACGAAGTACATGAAACATGTTGCAGTTAAGTTGTCTTTTCGAAAGGGTAAATGTGTAATTTTAAAAACACTGTACAAATCTTAGTTTGGTTGCTACTAGGAACATAATATAACCCTTCATTTATTGGAAAAAAATCATAATTGGGGTTCCTAACATTTTCAAAATGTACAAATGGAATCTTTAATTATTGATAAAGCAATCCCTAACTGTTAGGTAAATAGGTGGCCAAAGGACATTTGTATAGATTTCGTCCTAAAATTTGTTACTTTCCCTTTATACACTTGCTATTCCTAGTCATAAATTAAGATTTCCTTTTCGAACATCTTCCAAATCATTCATGGTTAAAGCTATATTCTTATTTCATGTAAAATCAACTCATCTTGATTCATTCCAATTCGTCAATTTAAATATTCGATACCATACAACTCAATATTCTCATCTCTACTATCTCACTAAGCGCCCAAGTGATCTCTCGCGTGATTGAGACGATCTATATATGTTCACACACTTCACCATATATGCCCTAAAAACATATCATGTCGTATTTAAATATGGACAATATCAACATCATAAATAATATTCAAAGTACTATTGTCAAAATGGGTTGAGCTATGTTGATTCACGTGTTGACCCACCATAACTAATAGATTGTGTCGAGCTTGATTCTTTAGCCCAATAACTCATAAGGTATGACCTAGTTGGCACGATTATTAAAAAAGTAAAAAGTAAATTAAAAGACAATAAAGCTATTTGTACAAAGTTGAGTTACAAAAGTTGGGTTACAAAGTGTGTTGATAAAATCCAGACCGTTAATTTTAAATGATTCAAAAATTTGTTTTTAAAATGATTGATGTATATGTTATTTTGGAACCCAACTTTGTACATGTAGCATAACTCATTAAAAGAGGTGTTGAGCTTTCTTTAAGTTACCAAACCTAACGGCTCTTTATTTTCTAAATTTTATAATATGATTTTTTTGTTTTTCAAAAATAGTTTTTTGATAATAAATAATTATTGTTCTTTTCAGTTTTCAAACAATCTTGCATCACAAAATATACATTTTTTTTTTCAATTATGACTTATTTAACTTACATTAAGCACTTGTTTGATAAATATTTTTTGAGAAGTGATTCTTTGATTCCTAATGAATGCGTGGTTAAAAAATATAGGGAAAAATTATAGAGAAACGTAAAAAATAATATTTTTGGAGGATGTATAGTTAAAAATGAGTGTATGAGAGATGCGATTCTTAAATAATCAAAATCAAACAAAGGCTGAAATCACAAAGAAAATAAAAAAATAAAATAAATTTTGATGGGTTAGACCGGCTCAAACCACAATATCGGTTGGTACATGTGAAGATATGATCCTCGAATTTGAAATACGATCCAAGCCTAGCGCAAACTATATTTTTAGACCGGCGAATTCGAACCTCAAACCCACAACAAGCTTGAATCGGGTCTGATAGACTAAACCCATCTACCCATTTTGATATGCAATACCTCATTTTTTACACTCATAATTCAAAGTACAAAGTGTTTAGTTAAAAACAATGAAGCTTCAAAATTAAAGATTAAAACTAATATATACTTCAAGAACGGAATAATGGTATCTAGTTTTACCGGTGCTAGAACATCCATTTATGCGACAACATGTGATAGATCCAATTAAATAGACCTTATTACCTTAGTGGAAAATATACTTTCAATCTTATTCTAGTTTTGGTTGATGCTCAGTTTCTTCGCCAGTTTTCGCCGTCTTCCAGCAATGGCAATTATCCTCATCTGAATCGTTCGCTATCATTTTATAATTATTTAACTCAAAATATGTGAATGCTTTCCTTCACATGACATGGTTTTATTATTTTCTTTCAAAAATCAGATTTGTTTCTTCAACAGTGGATTTCACGTTGACGGCTGTAGAGAAAAAAGAATTAAAGGGACAGACATGGGTTGAATGGACTATGAATAGCCAAAGTGGCTGGACTAGGTTTTGGGGGTGGGGGGTAATAACCGTATGTGAGGAGGTGGTTGTGGGATTGGACGATTGTTGTGGTGGCGGTGGTTAGTAGGAGGAAGATGGGGTAGGTGCGAAAGAATGAGATTTTTTTATTAGTTATCTGTGACTTATTTGTACTTT